GCGGGGTGCTCAGAGGAGGGGGCAGAGTTGGGGCAGGGACTTTGGGGAAGGGGTTGGAATGGGGGCGGAGAAGGGGTGGGGTTGGGGCGGGGAAGGGGCGGGGAAGGGGCGGAGTTGGGGCAGTGCCGGGGGTGGGACCAGGGCCCCGTGGAGTGTCCTCTTTTTTAAATGTTTGAATATGGTAACCCTAGAAAAACAGAATGTGAGTGAAATCCTGGCTCTATAGCGGTCAGTCGGGGGTTTGCCATTGACTTTGGTGGAGCTGGCATTTCACTCTGTGTACTTTAATTAATCAGTAGATACGTTCTTTGTATGCATTGAGTCAGAGCTGCTGTCTTTTCACTACTCTCAACCCTGTAGCACCAGCACAGTTTTGCAAGAGGGAGCTAGAGCTCTTCTGACTTACACATCTTCAATAGAACTACTAACCAAATGCCAGTGACACAAAGTTCACTCTCAATCCATCCACCAACAGCCATATGCTCAGGGCCAGTGCAAGAAAGTTTCGCGCCCTAGGCAAAACTTCCACCTGTGCCTCTTCCCCCCCCGACCCCAGCCCTGCGGCAGCTCCCAGCCCTGAGGCGCCCTTCCCCCCCCCCCCGGCAGCTCCCTCCCCCCCCCCCGGGAGCCATGCGGCAGCTCCCCACCCCAGCTCACCTCTGCTCCACCTCCTCCCCAAGCATGCCGCCCCCGCTCTAATTCTCTTCCCCTCCCAGGCTTGCGGTGCCAAACACCTGATTGGCGCTGCAAGCCTGGGAGGCGGGAGAAGTGGACCAGCGACCGCGCGCTTGGGGATGGGGTGTAGGAACGATGTAAAAAAAATTGGGGGCACCGCTTTTTGGCGCCCCCAAATCTTGGTGCCCTAGGCAACCGCCTAATTTGCCTAAATGATAGCACTTGCCCTGCATATGCTATTCCAGTAACAATCAAAGGTAATTGTCATCATAGCTTCAAAACCATGGTTGACATGTTGCAAACCTATGCCATTAGTGACCTGCACTCCAGCTGCTTAAAGTGCTAGGGGGAAACTCAGGTGAGGGACAAGTGCCAGATCTGTCGGGACTTCAGACCCTGCACTAAAAAGGAAAGAGACATTAGGCTGAAGGTTGTCCTCATGGAAGCCGCCCTCAGATAACTCTCGGAGCTGAGCCGCTCCGATTTGGCACTGAATACTTTGGCATTGGTGCAAAGTGCTCCCTGGCACTGAGCTCTTCTTGCAGAGGTGCTGGAACTAGGGGTGCTGGGGGTGCTGCTGTACCCCGTGGCTTGAAGTGGTTTCCATTATATACGGGGTTTACAGTTTGGTTCAATGGCTCTCAGCACACACACACCCAACTATAAAAATTGTTCCAGCACCCCTGGAGGTTGTGGAGAGAGTTTGGGAGGAATTATTAGGAGTGGAGTTTTGGCCATTGTCAAGGGTGAGCATTGTCAAGGGGTGAGCACATCCCCTTGGAGCCCTACTAGTGCATTGCACTCAGCATCCCCTTGGGTTCTTTCAATCAAAAACCTGTATCTCCTTTCTGGGATCTGATTTATTAATTTCTTCTACATAGGATGACTTGCTTGTTAGTTGCCCCTGCACTGGGTCCCTAGAAAAGTCCTGGTCAGCTGTTCATGCTAATTCAGAGTTATTACCTCTCTACTTAAATAGGAGTGCTCAGCTCTCCTCCTTGGGGCTGGGTTATAATTTAGCCAGCTGAAAACTCGTAGCCATCTGCTTCCTCAGCTGGCGCCTTTTTCCTCAATTAATCTTCAGGCTAAGAGGATCCAGCAGGCAGCCCTCTCTTCCTGGTGTCTGTCCTGTTATGAGGGAATAGCTAGCATATATGCTAGTCCCCATCTCAAATCCAGCTCATTCCCAATTGACTGGGTGAGATGGGAACCTGGCCATATCCTTTCTGCAAGGCTCCTGGCTCCAGGCCCCTAAAGATACAGTGATGAGATTTCGTCCCAAGCATCATTCATTCCTGGGACTGCTTCCTCTCTGTCTATATCCCCCTTAGGTCCTTATACTGAACATTTCAAACCTTTAAAGGTCCATGTCATGTAGCGGGATGGGCTGACCACTACGTGTTACTGCGTGTGCAGGGAAAATTACCCCGTCATCGCAATATTGATCTTGTGGGTACATAATGTAGTTTAATTTCCTACTTGACACATAAAATAGAGATATTATTTAGTGCTTACAGTAATCACAAGAAACTGACCTGTAAATACAGTCTTTCCAGAGGCTCAGGAAACACGTTGCAGGTTATCTGTAGATGCTTGTGTTAAATGAAATGTGCAATAATTTGGGCTGGCTTCTTTTCATAACAGGAGCTCCAGTATGCACAGCGACAACGTTTCTCAAGATTGACTTCTATGATTACGTTTCCTAGCTCAATAGAGAGCTTAAGTGCTGGAAATGTTCCAAGTAGGAGTGGTGAGGGAGCGGAACTACCTGAGATTCAGGTACATTCCAGGAATTTTTGACTAGTTTGATCTACTTTTAAACATGTGATTTAGTTCTATGTAACTAATACTCATTTTCTAGAAGACACTGAAAATTCATTACTTTAGTTGTTTATTGATTAAGTGCAAAATAGTATTTATAATACAGCTTTATTTTATAAAACATATTTTAAACAAGTTGTATCCCAACCACACTGTCCATGTTCTAACCTCATCCTCTTTCCCCTTATGCCCTGTCTAAATTAGAAATAATAACACAGCTTGTCTCCCAGCTGCTGAAACCATCTAGCTATCTCATTGAGAAGCTCCCAGCCCTACCCTCTCGCCTCCCTCTTTTGATAAACCCAATTTCCAGGTGTCCTCCATCTGAAGAGTAGATATCCTCTTAAGGGGATGTTTTGATTCTCACAGGTTCAACTGGAATCTTCTGTTAGAAATTGCAGTCCAGGGCAACAAAAGGAATGTACATCCTCAGAAACAGACCAATCACAGCAACTCAGTAGGGAGAGCACTAGCCAATCCCAACAGGCCTGGATGTCATCATCTGGAGTACACAGCTCCCTCCAGGATATTTGGCAGATTCTAGATATGGGATCAAGCCCTTCTATTCTCAGCCCTCAAAGCAACATAGATCAAGGTAAGCATGACTAGGAAAGAATTCACAGTAGGTCAGTCTTCTGGAGGAGTGAAGATACAATAGTAGATTCTCTCTATTTACACTAATTTTAGTATATGAGAGTGGTCCTAAAGTTACAGTCACTTAATTATCCATAAACCCAACTGTCATAGATGTTCCAGGAATTACTTAGATAACTGAATATTGAACAGTTAAGAGGAACACTAACACTTCTCCCCAGTATTATCATCCTTATTAAGAATACTCTTCCCCTCTTAATAAAACAATTAACTAGAGGAATATAATACCACTCGCCTTTATAGCAGAACTTTATTAGGAGAAGATATTAAAATGAGTCCTCAATAACTGAACAATTCATATACTGTCATGTTGCTGTTGGAACAGCATTGTAACTTGGTCAGTCCTTACAAAGCTATTATTTTGTGGCAGGTATATGCTCCCATAATATTATTTATTTGTATTATGGTAACAGATAGAGACCCCAGCTGAGATCAGGGACCCATTGTGCAAGTTATCATACAAACATATAGTAAGGAACAGTCCCTACCTGAAAAATGTTACAGTTTAACTAGAAAAGACAAAACAGACAAAGGGTGGAAGGAGAAATAGAGGGACAGAGAGCTAATGCAAAATGGCCAAGGTTACACAACGGAATAACACCCGTGTCTCCTGACTTCCAGCCCAGTCCCCTGTCCACTGGACAGCACTGCCTCTCCAAAACCCTACTATGCTAACAATTTATTGGCACAGATTTAAAGATATCTCTGTAATTCTGAGGCACTGTGGATTAATGTTGCATAGTGTTTAAGGCCAGAAAGGTCCATTAGATCATCTTGCCTGAACTCCTGTACATCATAGACCATTACATTTCATCTAGATACCCCTATATAAAAGTCAGAGATTTTGGTTAGACCAAAACATTTCAGCCCTCAGGAGACTTAACTATGTGTCACATGCTGAGTACAGGAGAAAACAAGGTGGCACCAATACCCAAGGTCCCTGCTGTGGCACAGAATTGATTGAGATGATCCCAGCAGGTGAACCATGCCCTTTGCTTCAGAAGAAGGTGAAAAATCCTCAAGATCTCAGTCATTCTGACCTGAAGGAAAATTCCTTCCTGATCCCAAATCTGGTAATCAGTATGATTTTGAGCATATGAGCAAGACAAGATGTGTGAGATAATATCTTTTATTGGACCAACTTCTGTTGGTGAGACAGACGAGCTTTTGAGCTTGCACACAGCTCTTCTTCAGGTTTGAAGAAACTAACTCCCAGCCATGCATCTAGAAAGAAGATCCTCTATAACTTCTCAGGCCACTGGTCCACTGCTTGGTGTCCCATCTCCAGCTGTAACCAATCTCTGATGCTTCAGAGGAAGGCAAAACTGAAAACTGAATACATTTAAGCCAATTGTACATCAGCTTAAAAAATTCCTTCCTGATCCCTGCAGGCAACTGGCTGAAGCCCTGAAGTATAAGATTTGATTATAGAACTGAAAGTGTTATGAGCCTGTTGAGAGTGAGGCAGGCAAACCTGTTCTCCCCATGGCCTTGAAGGAAGGGGAAGACTAGGGGAGACTCAGTAACAGATTCCAAAATCAGAAAGGACTATTATGACCATCCATCCTGCCCCCATGCACACAGGCCATAGAATTTCTCTTAGAAGCTTGATTAAAGTGTATCTTTTAAAAAGATATCTAATTTCTTCATAAAGACTCTAAGCGATGGTGAATTCACCACCTCTCCCAGTAAGCTGTTCCAATGTTTAATCACACTCACTGCTAGGAAATTGTGTCTTATTTCAATGTTGAATTTATCTAAATTCAACTTCCAGCGATTGGATCCTGTTATGCCTTTGTCAGCAATGTTGGAAAGCCCCCCACCCCATCAGATGTCTTTTATAGCTGTAAGTGCCTATGTGCAGCAACTGAGTCGCCTTTCAGCTGTATCTTGGATAAGCTGAGCTCCCTAAACCTCACATTTTAAGCAGGGCCGGTGCAACCATTTAGGCAAACTAGGCTGCTGCCTAGGGCGCCTAGTGGTTGGGGGTGCCTAAAAGCCCGCTCAAGCGAGGAGGTGGAATGGAGGTGAGCTGGGGCGGGGGGAAAGGGGGGAGGAGAGAGGCAGCGTGGGGAGGGCCACCCACAGTAACGGGGGGGTGGGGAGACGCACAGGGGAACTGCTCCCCGCCCCAGATCACCTCCACTCTACCTCCTCCGCTGAGCACTCAGCCCCTGCTCTAAGTCTCCTCCAATCGGCGCCGCAAGCCTGCGAGGAGAGGAGAATTAGAGCGGCGCCGGCGTGCTCAGCGGAGGAGGTGGAGACGAGGCGAGCTGGGGCGGGCTCCCCAGGCGGGGTTAGCTTCCACGGGGGGGGACTCCGCAGGCGGGGTTAGCTGCTGTGGAGGCAGGCTCCCCGGGTGGGGTTAGCTTCCGCGGGGAGAGTGGGGGGGTCTCCCTGGGCGGGGTTAGCTGCCGCGGAGAGGGTGTAGCTGCTGCCGGGGGGGAGGGCTCCCCGGGTGGGGGGGTGGCGGGGTCCCCGGGTGGGGGGCTGGGTTAGCTGCCGCGGGGGGACGGGGTTAGCT